TTTAAAAATATTAAATGTCCTGTTTTAATGTCAGTTTCATGCATTAAAAATGTCTTTGCAATAAGAAAATTGATCGTTCTTTTCTTCAGCTCTACAGCAGAATATGCAGGCGACGCTCGGAGCAGACGTCACTCTCCAGTGTCAGATTACTACAGATGAAAGAATCTCAGTGCTAAAGTGGAGCAGACCTGACCTGAACACAGACGGCTACGTCTACTTCTACAGGAACAAACGCTCCTATGAAAATTACCAACATCCATCTTTTCATGGCCGAGTGAAGCTGAGGGATCCGGAAATGAAGGATGGAGATGTTTCTGTGATTCTGAAGAACGTCACGTTTAATGACACTGGGATGTATGAGTGTCACATAGCTGTGAGGAACCCTGTGAGAAGTAAAAGAGCTCACACTGAGATCAGTCACTTCATTGAGCTCACAGTCACAGGTGAGTTTGTCATGCCAACAGCAAATAGAGTGCGTCCATAATGTCGTAGTTAGCATGTTCACTTAGCAAGTTCAAGCCCAGGTGACACAAAACCTTTGGGCTTTAGTCAGCAAAAACATATGTGTGTTTAGTGTCACATGTCAGATAAAACATGCTGAGCTGCTCACTCTGTTGCGAGTAGCTTTAATACAGAAAATGACATGCACTGAGCTAGCAGTTCTTACTACTGTATATCAAGGGTAAAGTCGTAGCATGCTGCTAACATAGATGCTTTCGGTCAACAGCCAAACACATTTTATGTAACTTGACATCTCCTTTACTGTAGCTGACTGAAGCTGTTCTCCTGCTAGCTTTACCTGCTGAACACGTTAAAGCTCACATCTGAGGGTTTCTTCTCTGACAGCTAATCTTTGCTCTGCAGGTGAAGTGCATGAAAACATGTTGGAGAAGCACATCATGGAAGGAGAAGATGCTGATGGAAACACTGAGGTTGAACAGGTTGAAGCACAGACTATCCTGATTGTTGCTGCTGTTGCTGTTGTCATTGCTGTTGTCATTGCTGTTGCTGTTGGTTTGTTAGTGTTGCTTCTTAAGAGAAATAAGAAGCATCACATCCTACTGAGGAAGAATCAGCCCTGCTGATTACAAACAACCGCCATAAGGATTTAAATATATTTAATTTAAAGTGAAAATGATAAGATCACAAACTGTTTGTTTATTAGATGATAATTTGTAACCATTACAACGATTAAATACTGTCCTCTCATATCTATCATAAAATATCCTCATAACTACATTTATAATTATTAATACTAGTTAAATATATACACCTAGAGAACAAATCTTGCTTATTGAAGCTAATCTGTGCATTCAAAGCAGTGGTAGGAAACTTTGCGTGCACACCTTTGCATGTATGGAATGACACATGGATATTTGTGCTTGCAGGTGCACTGTAAACATTTTATCTACTGCATATACATGGACACATTAGAATTACTAACATAACTGAAATGTATGTGTTTAGACTTTGAACCATCTGGAGTACCAAGAAAATCCATGCAAAAAGGCCACAGGCAAGATTTAAACCAGGAATATTCTTATTGTGAGGCTAATCACACCAAACTATAATAATAAAAGTTATAATAACAACTGGAATAACAACAAAAAAAATCCCAATGGCACGTTGTGAAGGAAGGAGGGTGTGGGCAACCAAAATGAATGCTCTGCCCATGAAAGTATGGAGGTTGAGGAGGGAGAGAGACCGACCATCGAGACTGTGTGTGTGGGTGCAGCAGGTTAGACTGGTACTGTGGGACCAGGCCATTGAGGGATTTGTAAGTGGGGGAAGAAAAACTTGTAGTGTGTAACTTTAGTGGATGCCGATGGAAATGTGAGGGTGGGGGGGGGATGTGTTGTTAAGACTGTTGTAAAATGTCAGAAAAGGTCAAATTTGACCCAAACTGAAAGTAAAGGGTTGAGCAAAGATTAAACGCTGACACTTCAGTAACTACGTTTATCAAGTACACCACACTGAAGAAAATCTCTGCTGTCCATTTATGTCAAATCAAGTAAAGTTTTAGACATTGCGGGTGATAATTTTGAAACTACCTCACTTCCTCTGTCACATGATGTCAGACATTTTATCTTCACACTCTTTTATTTGAGTAGTGTTACATTTTGAGAAAACAAAAAAACAAAGGAGAAAGACTGAAAAGATGTTTGCTGATGCTTTAGCAACATTTACCTCAAGACTGTAGGGAAAAAAAAGTCTACTGAGGTCTGTAAAGGTTCTACACCTCTGCAAAGGTGGTGGTATGGTGAATACATCAGTGGCATCAACTCAGCTACAAATAGCCATTTTTTTACTAATACCTACTTCGACTCTGCTCTGCTTGGTTTTGGTCATTTGCTTTTATAATCGAGTGCCACCTGACATGCATGCAGGCGTGAAAGTGATGCAGCTGAACATAAGGATGTCAAGGTGATACTTACTGATTGTTCTGTGGCTGTCCTTTGCCTCATTGCTGGCTTTTAACAGTGGCTAGTCAGCAACACTGACTAGCCATCAATAATGTCACATTTTTGGATCGCCACACTTAGTTCACTCATAAAGTACCAGGTACTACAAGGTAATGGAAAACCCTAAAAACTGAGTCAAGCTGAGCCGACCTGACCTGAGTAGGTACTAATAGAAAAGGGCTAAAAGTGTTGAGTGGAGGGAGGGAGGGGAACAAAAAACTGGAAACTGCTCAGTGAATTAACATCCATTCAGTTTACTTTTTTTACTTACTAATCAAAAGCAGAAGTAATATAGTCTTTTTTAGCTTGGGTGTGAAGGTTTCTCTCCACTTCAACCAAGTGCTGCTCGAAGGGGCTGATCTGATCTTTGGAGCCCTTAGTTTAGTGTTTTTATTATTAGGTGTTGTGAGCTGAGACTAAACAGATCTTACTGACCTGAATTACTTCATCAATACTTTACATTCATGTGTATGTGTTTGCATTTTGCTGAACATTTGATAAATTTTTACCTCTCGCGCTTATTTATACCACACAGTCTGATCTGCACGCATAGAATATCAACGCATATGTAAAGAAGACAATGACTTTAAAATATTTGGTGTTTTTTTTTAACTGTGATTTTTACATATTTAAATAAAATACAGTTTTACACAGTTTTTTTTAGGAGAGGCTTGACGGGCTTATTATTAATTTATTATCAAAATGGAAATAATAATAATAATAATAATGAATTATTATTATTAATAATAATAATGGCATAGTGGTGGTGGCGTTATTGATATTATTATTAGATTCATTAAATGTATTCCTTTTGATTTTTGCTCTCCATTTGTGGATATTTAATTAAAATGAGCTCGACATCCCTCCTTGATACACTTCACATACTCAGAACAAAAATCCTTAAGAAGAAACTGAAACTATGATTATTCAGATCATTTTGATTATAGGGATGTTGAGTTTCTGATAACTCCTTGTTTTTGTGTTGTATGTCATCAGAGTGTTTATTTGAAGTTTGATTGTTCCGTTTGCCGTGAACCATTATTATGCAAATTATCATGAGTACAATGTACAATGTTTCTCTACACTGCAAAATCAAGTGTTACTTAGCATTACTGAACTGTGAAGTTTTTGTCCTCTGGTCAACTGCTGCTTTGAAAAGCATGTATACTGAGCACCAGATGGTTTTATTTTCTGCTATTATCTGCACACCGCATAATAAATAAATAAATCATTAAATTGTGTAAAGGAGTGCCGTTTGTGGAATTCAAATATTTGAAATAAGAATATTTATTATACTGCAGAGACAATACTGACACACGTTTGCTGAGTGTCCAACCAAATGTTGACAATAAGTGAGGGAAAATTGTTCCTCCATTCAACGAGTAAAGGTGAATATTAGGGAGGGAGGCTTTTTTTTTCTACCTCGGCTTTTAGATTTTCAGATTTGTTTTGTTTTTTGTACAAAAATAAGCAACTTAAATAAAATATGTTTACAAGAATAACATATTTTAAAGAGGTGGAAAAGGTTGTGTTCATGTTAAAAAAAGAACAGCACTTCGTTTTAAACTAACATCACTGTTTTAGTGAACCATACAGTCCAGATGGGTTTTAGGTAGTTACCCATTTATTTATGTAATACCCTAAAATTTGTACAGCACCCGTTCTCATTTATCTGTACCTACGGCCAGCAGGTGGTTCAAACCCAGTCTCTTTCTTTGAAGAGCTTTTTGTGAAATTATTAACCCCCCCACCCCCCGCAAAATATTATGAAATTACAACATCATTTAATATAACTAAAGCTTCAAACAGGTTAAAAATAAGGTGGTAATGAACTTTCTGTTAAAGCAGGTTCACTGCTTTAGGCTCTGTGTGCACATAAAGAGATATTCTGCAAGCGATGATCAAATGGTGATTAAAAAACAAAAAAATATAACAGTAAAAATTAATCAAGTTAACCTGAGTACACTCTCAGTGCTCCGTTTATTTCTAAGGTGACAGCTGCAAATTGAAACTGAATATTTAAACAGGATCAATTTAAACATTAAAGCGTACAGAGTAGAGCTGTATTGGTAATCTGGCATAATGGACATCTTCCCGGTGGGACGACCTATTTTTGGGCCGATGGGTCAATTGAAGGGCTGCTGCAAATCGCCTGTAAAGCAGCCCATTTGTTCATTTTCAATACTGACATTGTATTGTAATGAAATCTCTGAACGCAGCATCCTCCCCTACAGAGTTTAATGTAGAAGAAATAGTGAAACACACACAAAAAAAATAAATGCAGCAAAATGTGTCAAATTAATGACATGATAATTTGCTGTTGCTGCAGCTCCACCACCGTCAAGTAACCAGCAACACCCAATAACCACCTGTTAGCACCAGCTGTGGAGAAACACAGAAGTGAAGACACAAAGGAAGGTGAAAGTAACATGGTAAGAAAATAATGGTGAGACATAATTAGGAAGGGAGAGATTCAAGAATTCAAGTAAAATAACTGGCTACTTTGATCATCAGCCACCACTAATATCTAAAGTTTACCATATAATCAATTAAAATTGTCACATGCTGCCATGCAGTGCTGCTAAGATGTCCTAACCTAACTACAACTGTACCAACCTAATTAAAACCCATTATATATCTATCTAGCTGTATGTATGTATGTATGTATGTATGTATGTATGTATATATATATATATATATAGATATATATATGTAAATGTAATGTAGCAATAATCAAATGAGATGTAAACGTTTATAGGGTGTCTGTATCACTGTATCAGTAAAGGCCCCTATAGGTACCCCCCTCTGACGGAAGTGATCCCCCTCCCCCCTTTGTTTCCTTTCTTTAAATGTCAGGCACTAAAAGCCAGTGAGGTGTTGCATGCATGCATGGGTGGTCTTTGAAGCTTACACCCACACACTAAACAAATGCGAGCCCTCTTTACTCATTTCTACTTAGACCACTGTCAGTTCGAAGGCACGAGATGACAGCACCTTTGTGATCCTATCAAAACAAAAGTGAAGGCAACAAACGCAAAGACTAATAGAAATAAATATTGTTTGAAAAAACACTTCTTATATCAAACAGTGTAACTGATGAATCGACTGTTGTTGTTTGTTTTCTTAAATTCAATGGTCAGTATATTTAATGGAGGCATGGAAAAAAATTTACCTTCATATACAGAGATTTAAAATATATGTCTGAAATATTCAGCTTTTTAATTCTCCTTATTTTTGTTCCCCAGGTAGCTTCAGAAGTATAGAAATATTAACACATTTTCACTCTACAAACAAGGGAGCATGTTAAAGGCCCACATCACCCTGTGGGACAGGCAGTTGCACAAAGCTAATTCTTTCATAGGGATGAAAATTTGTCCCATTCACTTGGACACCAGGATCATTTTCTACTTGGGATTCCTTCTGTGTCAAAATAATGCTCTAATAGACTCACAGTTTAACACTCTTAAATTCAGAAAGCTGTAAACTGGAACAAGATGATTGGTATGTTAAAACATCTTAAACAAGTGGTCAGGTAAGATGATCTCTTAGGAATAATTTTACATAAAGTTCACAAACAACTTGCATGATGTAAAAAAATCACACGGCTTTCGTGGCCTTTTCTAGAAAGGGCATAGTCACTTTCCAAGATGCAATGGTCTCTCCTGTCACTTGGAGGAGTTTGACAGCTGGCAGTCAAACTTGATTACCAGCTGAAATTCCTCGTGGGGATCACAATGTTATCCTTGAACCCAAACATGGCCAGTCACTGACAGAATAGCTAGGTGGAGCTGACTATCCCATAAAATAAGCAGACAGAGGCTTCTCATGAGAGAAAGAGGGAAAGGTATGCAGAACTGTCAGCCACATTTACACAGGCAGGCTGGAGAGCTCACACCGGCCCAGTGGAAGTCAGGTGCTGATATCTCAGTTAAAAAACATTTGGTGTTGCAGGTAACGTCTTGTAACGCCGTTATTCCCATCGCTGGTAGGGAAACATTTCTACTGCTGCTCCACCACACGAAGATGTTCTGGGATTAACAGAGTGAGTCATCAGTGAAGGATGTGTCCCAGCCCAACGACACTGTTAGAGGTGAGAATTGGGAGAAATGCCCAGGAGTTAACATTTGTTCTCTGCTGGTTTTCCTTCAATTTGTTTCATCTGAAATAATTATATTTATCTAAAAGTCAATGCTAAGACATTTTAGCTTTTAGTGCTGTAAAGATGTAAATTTTCATCAGGTCATTCGAAAACTAAAATTGTCAAGGTTTCACAGTGTGAAACTAAGAAGATGGACCACACTGCCATGTGAATCAGAGACAGATTTATTTCACTGTGTAAAGGTAATTTGGTGACACCACAGAATAAATGGTTTTTATCTTTTTTATATGTATTCTTTATTGACTCGCAGTTTGCACTGAAACTTTGTGAATCAGGTTTTTGTTTGTTTTTTTACTTTGTTCTGGCAAATGCTTAATAGTAAAGGGGAAGCTTGTAAGAAACTCTGTAAAAGGCATGCTATAGCTAACTTTCCCTTTCTTTTGCCTTTCAGAATAATACTCATTTCCTTTAAACCACTCCCTTCCTCTCAACATAAAAGGTTTCAGTTGACTGAAAAACCACTTTTTGTTTAGTGTGCAGGCACTTCAGTGTAATCTGTTGTCACACATGGCTTTTCTCAGGGTCCTCCTGTGTTTCTTCCTAATTGCTGAATCAACAGGTGAGTGAAACAAAATTTGTTAATATTTTTATTCTTTACAACTAAAGGCTGACAAGAAAAACTTTTATTTATATGAATGAGAGGGAGACTGGCGTAACAGGGAAGCTGCATGAAACAGAGGTAAAAAGTACCCAAAAGTTTAAAGAGTGGAACAAAGTAATGGACGGTGAAAAAGAGAAATGAAGAAGAGAGTGCAGGCAGGATTTCAGGGGTGACTAGTTCTACAAGATGGTTGTGAGACCTGCTTTGATGAACGGCTTAGAGCTGGTTCCACAAAAAGGCAGGAGGCTGAACTGAAGATGCGAAGGTTTCATTTGGAGTGAACAGGATTGACATAATTAGAATGAATATATCAGAGGTTTGGAGACAAAGTCAGAGAGGCAAGTTTGAAATGCAATGGCATAGTCCTCTTAGGAGATGAGATGACAAACACCCCAAGCCCACTGTGCAATGCCCCCAAACTGCAAAAAACAACAACAAACAAACAAAACAAAAAACCACAGGAGCGATAATTAGCATGTTAAATGTTAAGCTTTCTGAACTTCATTCATGCGATTTCATGAACTGGAGACAAATGTGAGATTTGATCATTTCAGTTATCACTTACATTGTATAAACAGCAGCTACACGTATTAAAGTAACAGTAGAGCGAGATAAACTTCATACTTACCGATTGTTCTCTTTCCTTCAGCTCTGCAGCAGGATGTGCAGGTGAAGTTTGGAGCAGACGTCACTCTTCAGTGTCAGATTTCCACAGATGAAATAATCTCAGTGCTGAAGTGGAGCAGACCTGACCTGAACACAGACGGCTACGTCTACTTCTACAGGAACAAACGATTCTATGAAAACTACCAACATCCATCTTTTCATGGCCGAGTGAAGCTGAGGGACCC